TTATATTTGTATTTTAACATAAATATATTTATAGATATTTATGACCCTGATAGAAGTCATACACTTTATTTTTTTATTTATTTTATTTTATTTATTTATTAATATATTTTACTTAAAATATAAAATGTATATATTTTAACATATAAATATATTTTATGTGCATAGGTTTTCCAGTGAAATATCTGCAAACTTGTGAAAATAAATATAATAAAATTAGTTTTTAGATATATTTCATATATTAAGAATTTAGTTTATTTTTCTTAATATTGTTGGCAAATAGTTTTTTTTTGTTTTGTTTAAAGTATAAACCTTACAAAAGTTTGTTAAATGTATGCTTAAAAATGTTTACTAGTGGGGTAAAAAATACTGGTTATTTTTTGCATGTTCATTTTATAAGTATTTGTGCTCCCTGGGAATCAAAACCATGACCTTGGTGTTGCTAGTGCCAGTTAAAGGAACTTTAATACTTTGTAAATATTATTCAACGGTCATTCACATGAATTAAATCCACAGGCAGTGACTCATAGTGGCATTACTGCAGAGTGAGGCAGTTGTTTTCAGTTACCTCTATGGTGACCTTTATTCAGACTAACCCTCGTTTGCCAAGTTGAGCTTTGCAATTCAGAGAGTATGAACTGTTGCTCTCAGTGAAGTGCTGACCTCCCCACATTAACTATAATGACAGCTTTCACATATGACTGCTAAAACTGGCTACTGATCAGCAGTAAGATGTGTTCTGTCAATATCATAAGTCAGACAAGCCAAAGGCACATGGCACAGCAGGAGCTACTGTATTTATAGTAGAATAATTCATTGGCAGTATGTTGGTGTTAAGCTTGTTCAAAATGACTGTAAGAAAGTAAAAGTATTTTTTCCCTCACAGATATGCTGCTAAATTAATCGCTGGAGTTTTAGATTTCAAGAGCATGATTGACAAGTGAGTAGCACATTCCTTACTTTCCCTGTGAAGTCATAAGTCATTCAGTTCTCTTAGATAACCATGACTATTACAATTGATTCAATTCATGAGATGGTCAAGTCAGACATAATGTCTTTCCTTTTTGATTAGTGAAACATTGCCAGTGGAGTATCTGGGTGGAAAGCCACTCTGTATGAACCAGTACTATCAGGTGCTCTCGTCCTGCCGGATCCCTGGAACAAAGAGGGACACTGTGGTGAACTACACCTTGGACAAGAGACCCCCCACACATATCACTGTAGTGCACAACTTTCAGGTAAGTCCCTGTTCCAAATGTAACTTCCAGTAGTAGGTGAATTGAAAAAATGTACAAAAAAAATCTTATCTTTTGCATTTCTTGTATTAAAAAAGTTTTTTTTTTAAACATTTAACACTTTCCTGCATCCAGGACTGTGATCTGTTAGTACCATGCAACTTACTACTTGATGGTGAAGCGTCTTTTTATCTTGTTCTTTTTTTCTCGTTTGCAGTTCTTTGTGCTGGATGTATACAACAGTGACGGCACGCCACTGACCGTAGACCAGATCTACATTCAGCTGGAGAAGATCTGGAACTCCTCTTTACAGACCAACAAAGAGCCTATTGGCATCCTCACCTCCAACCACCGCAACAGCTGGGGCAAAGCTTACAACAACCTCATCAAGGGTGGCCACTGCCAACACTTTTTATTTTTAGCTAGACATATTAGTGTCTTCAGTGCTAGGAACTGAAACTTTGATAAGCTATATATAATGTACACTACAGTTCAGAAGTTTGGGATTACTATAGTTTTTTATTTTTTTGAAAGAAATTGATACATATATTCAGCCAGGACACATTAAATTGATCAGACATTTATAATTTTACAAATATAATATTAAAGATTTCGATTTTAAATAGATGCTGTTCTACAGGCTTTCAGTTCATTAAAAGAAATTAAATTTAGGGTTCAATTTAGAGTGATTCTTAATTTATTTTGTGTCACTTTCAGATAAAACAAATAAGGAGTCTGTGAGAGCCATTCAGAAGAGTATCTTCACAGTCTGTCTGGATGCTCCCATGCCTCGTGTGTCTGATGACATGTACCGCACATGTGCTGGAGTTC